TTTGAAAAGCACACACGACAAGAACTCCCCTTACAATCAGAAAACAACAATTTATAAACTCCCATTAACGAAGAAAAGAAGAAGCAGAAAACTCCCACACAAAAAGGAAGGCGGGAAAACAAAAAAAGTTATAGAAATTGCCATTAAAATACTTTTATGTGCAGAAGAAGCAAAAAATGGAGGGGCAGGCGACAGTCCCACCTCGTGAAATTATCACCCCCTCCCCCAGGCCGCTTGGCCTTTGTATACTCTAGATTGGCATCAATTGGGCCGATCGGCTCAACAGGCGGGAAACCCCTCTCTCGCGTTCTCTTCGCGGAAGTTCCTGCTCCCGCGTCTATTGTGGGAGATCTCGCTCCTGTTCCTGTGTTCCTGCTGTAGAAGATCATGCTCCCTTTCTTACGTTCCTGCTGCGAGAGGTCTTGCTCCTGCGTTCGCTGCAGGTGATTCCACTCCCGTGTCAGTCTCCTGGGATTGGGGGAGTTTTGACTTCATCTGTCAAAGCTTCTGGTTCTCACAAGTCGTTTCTGGATCTCATTGGCACTGCGCTGGCTCCCAAAACATCTGCGAAGCGTTTCCCACTTGCCAGCATATCTCTCTATCGATTCGTTCTGGTTTGGCATAATTTGAGCCGGAGGTATACAACGACGCAAGTTCTCTTGAGCCAAATTTCAAACAAGTAAATATCTCATATGCTTCTCATCTACGTTGGGCATCAGCAAAGTCGAGGGTTTGTAAGAGTTTGATTGATGGATGATTCTTATTATCTTTCGTGTCTTCCCTTTAACTCTTGAAGCTTTGGAGAACAAACATCTTCTGCCGCGTTACAATAATAAGAGCTTCACACTGGCCTTTCGTCTCTTCATATGTAACACTAGGGGTGAGGGCTGGAACTGTACCCTCCTATGATGCTATCAGTTTGTTGTCACCACGACCATACATTGAAATTTTAAACTCTGACATCTTCTGGCTTGTGTGATCTTTATATGTCTCAACAAAAAGTTCTTCGTCTTCTAGGAGTGCAGAAACCACAATCTCATCAAAAGTCGTATTAAAATTTTGGTTCCATATATGTTTCAGTGAAATTTGAATCGGAAGAATTTTTTTTTGATATTTGTGGCTTGGGTAGGAGCATATGCTTGGAAACCCTAGGATATGACAAGGGTTGGGCTAGCTCTAATACTAAATGATATCGGAACTAGTATGTAAAACAGTGAAAAAACAAAAACAACTTTTATTAATATGGAAGTAAGGTTACAACATAGCACAAATTGAAAATAACATCACCAACTCATAAAACAACACAAACAAACGCCTCAAAAGTGTATCATAAGGGAGTTGGGGGTTGGCTAGGTGGATTAGGATTGCTAGCCAGTTTGGCGGCAGCCAAGGCGAGGTGAGAAAATTGCAGGACCAACTAGAGTCTATGTGGCCTGTGCAACGACAATATGAAATTGGGGCAAAAATGACAGAAACAATAAAGGTTTGTTATCCCGCGGTTGCAACAACAAGGATTGATGGGTCGGAAGCGATGTTAGCAAAATTGCAGGCCATTTGGGCTGTGGAAGGTGCTAGACAATAAGGTAAGACTGCAGGTAGGGGTGGTTGGGTGCATGTGTAAAGGAGGGGGAGACAGACGGCTGAGGAGGGGGTAAGAATGGTAGAGAAGATGAAAATGCAAGATACATCACCACCTCGGAGGAGGATACAACCGGAGCACCATCACCTTCTGGATACTGCCCGAATAGGGAGAACAACTCCACAAAGAAATCTGAAAGTAATTCACAACAAAAACTGCCCCCTAGAATCAGAAAACAACAATTTATAAACTCCCATTGACGAACAAAAGTGAAAAAAATAAAGAAGGAAACTCCCACACAAAAAGGAAGGGGTGGAGAGGTAAGAAAGATCCTGAAATAGCTATTAAAATACTTCCACACGCAGAAGAAGCAGAAAAGGAAGGAGGAGAGTGGCGACAATTGTACCCTCATCAAATTACTGCGCCTAGGCCGCTCGACCTTGGTTTACTTTGGACCGGTCTCAATTGAGCCGACCGGTTCAACAATGGGAGTTCCCGCTACGGGAAACTTCGCTCTCGCATTCCCGCTACGGAAGATCCTGCTCCACATCTGACAGCGGGAGATCATGCTCCTGTTCCCGCGTTCTCGCTGCGGGAGATCCCGCTCCTGCTTCATTTGGCTTCCAGGACGGTACTTTATATCAAGATCATAATCCTTCATCAGCGCTAACAACCTTCATTGTCTCAAATTTATTATTTTCTAGCTGAAAATATATTTGAAACTCTTATGATTTATAAACACTTTACATTTTGCTATTGGCCAGCTAAAATGTTTTGACTAGAAATTTAGAGTGCTCTTACCTTAATGTAAAATTTTCTTTTCAGTATCACTATCTTTCGCTCTCATTTGATGCAGTCAAATCTTATGTCAGTTCTGGAAAATATTGAACATTCCCCGATTAATCAAAACAGCAGTTTTAGGAAGAAGATGCATATTTTTATGGCAACCTTATTCAAGTTTATAGGACCATCCTTCTTTACAAGAATAAAGTAGCACTCCAAGGAGATAAACTTGGTCCAATTAAACTATTTTCAATTAACTCTAATAGCAGACTCCTGTACTTGTGCATCCAATTAAACCACATCCTTTCTTGCGTCAACCCAAATTGTTCCTCAAGAAAAGAACATTCTTATACTTATTCAACATAGTAATCTTACTTATATCACCCTCTGGTCTCTGACCTGTTCTTTGCTATTTGTCATAGTGTATATTTCTTGACCCAATTTCTTTTTATATGTCGTCGCTCCCCATATAAATAATACTTTTAAATATTCATCAAACATTTTTCCAGAATGAGATTTACCACAGATAGCGCATATTAAAGTAACATACATGTTTGCTAGTGCTACTCTTCTTGTAATTATTGTTGCTCATAAACAAATATTTGCTTCTTAAATTGAACACCTTCTCTGTTGTCAGCTGGCATCTTTTTTATTGTTATTTTCATTTCTATCTTAACACGCCATGTGATCTACAGTAATCTTACGTTTTTCGCTAGCTTAGAAAAGTTCCTGATGCTAAGTGAAGTTGAAGGTTAGTGCAACTAATACCTTTTTCCTTTCAGAAAAATGTAACATTTTCTCACTTAATGTACAGATAAATTATGGGGCATATCGGTGTTAAGGATGTAAAATCAGCCTCATACTAAATTACTATCTTAGGCCCCAAGTCAATTCACTTAAAACTTTGGAATTGCCTTGTAGAAGGAGAGGCAAGCCAATTTCTAAAAATCGGTTCAAACTTATCTCATGAAATTAATTCTTCAGTTTTTCCTTTTATGTCTTCTCACATGTTGTCTCTCTATTTTACATGTCTATCACTTGTGCATGAATGCTATTCAATATCTTTTAAATCATGTTAATCCAATCCTCCTCAACTCCAGTATCCACTTCAATAAACATGATTTATTTTAGGATCTAAAAACGCTTGAAGTAGTTGTCAATTTCCACACTAACACTAGTATTTAGTACTGCAGGTGTCATTGGTGGTTCTGCTGGTACAGCAATGGCTGCATACTGAAAAAAATTGCATCTTTTCTATCATTTACATCATCATATTCATCATCCACAATGCATTATTTTTTTTTCGTGGCTACATGATCTAGGGAAACTAAGACATCCTTTGCCTTGAGTTTACTCCCTTAAATTGATATAACATTTCCGGTACATTATTTGCCAAATTGGATTGTGCTAATTGACCATTGACACCTTTTGGTATCTTTCAACCTTATAGCCCTACTCATTTTATTTCATTTTATACATATTATTATACTCGTATTCATGTATTATACATTATATAAAATATGCTATGCAAAGTTTGTCTCATATCTTACTCAGGAAGACAACACACCTATATTTTGTAGTAATGATATCACATTTAAGTCGTTTCTTTAAAACACTAAATCCATTCATACTTTCGTATTTAATCTTCAAAATTCTACCTTGCTAATATTATTGACACCCATTTTGTAATTTTACTCATTAAAATCGAATGGGTGATAAACTTAATTACCCAAATGATCCAGAATATTATATCACTTTATTCCCAACTCTATGATCCATTGAGTTAATGTATGTTAATTGAGCAGAGAAGTATTCTAAAATATTCTATTGATTTAATTAAATAGCTTCTAAAAATATTAGCGATATATATTATGATATTAAACTTCTACTACATACATACCTTACCATGCTCTATTCTTTTACTCAAAGCTATATTTAAAAAAAATAGGGTAGTTGCTATAAAACTTCATTCTTACTTGAAATTAATCTTAATTTTACCTTAATTTGAAATAACTAACAAAGAAAAATTTGGCGAGCTTGATTAGTTTTACAAAGTAAATAATTCCAAAATAAAATTCAAATGTTCATGAAATTAAACCTTTGTGATATAATAATTATTACTTAGATAAGAGTAATTAAAATAAAATATAGACTTTTAGTGCATTACTATATTTAGCATAAAGTCGCCTTTTTTGAATAATATCCGACACAAAAATATATTAGAAATTTTACCAAAGTAAATTTGAAGGAGATATATTGAGGACCTTTTTGTCTACATTAGGGGTTCATCTTTGTTGCCTCACCTGTACAGGTTAGCATGATCATATTAATTTGAGGTCCCTTTTGTCTTCATCTAGGCTCACCTTTGTCACCCACCTATCCGAGTTGTTGAGAATTTATTAATTTGAGGACATTTTTGTCTTCATGTGTTCATTTTTGTCTCCTAATGTACAAATATTGAATAATGTATTAATCTGAATATTTGGTCTTTATATGGGGTTCATTTTTATTGCTCATTTGTACATGTTGCATAACATATCAATGTGAACTTATGATATTTCTTGAGCCCTTTTTTTAAAAAAAAATCCTTTAGATGACCTTTGCTTCTCATTTACTGTTCCGCCTGACACCAATGCAGGAAAGTCTTCCAAGCTCTTCTTGCAGTCATTTCAAATCATATCTTGTTGGAATGGGTTTTTCATCTATTCTTGTTGATAAAGTGATCGAGGAAAATGGTAGGTTTATATATTCATTACGGGTACTATCAAACTCTACCTTTCCAATATGGAACTCTTTTTAACATTGTTGTTGACTCTGAGAATGTATGACAAATTATACTTCTTTTATTTAATCCAGGGGAGGATGATGTAAATATTCTATTGGAAGCTCTCCTTGCACAGTCCGTAAGTGAATTTAAATCATTTTGAATCTTTAAATTTGTGTCAGTTGAACTCTAACCCAATGCAAATCTTAACGCCTGTTTATACATCACTGACCCTTTTTTAGGTTCTTCGAGTTATCATGATTCATGATTACTCTATCACATTTTTTCTATTTGAATAATGCTCATGCTACAATGTAAATTAAAATGCAAGTTTTTGGAAAGAAGAATTGATTTTATTCGCGGAGAGATAGATGAAGGCAATGAAGGCAAATGGGTTGAAGTTCCTTGCTGGGGATCATAATGAAATTTTATAGATAAATAATAAAGTGGATAAGGACTACTAGTAACTAAGGGAAAATGTATTTGCAATGGTGGCTGTGAGGTACTCATTGGAATGAATTTATTTGTGGACTAGATAGGGTGGAGATGGCTAAGCCAAGTGTCATCCCCATGACTACCCTCTTAACAAGTTGTTATGATTTAGCTGACTGAATATACCTCTAATTCTCTTCCTTTTATTCCACTTACCAAGATAGAATGATAGATGAAATATGTCACCTAAATTCGCTCGAAACAACACATTACTCTATAATTCACATATATCTAAAAAAATTATTCCGTCAAATTAAATGAACTAAATCCCTGGATTAACTTAAAATATGCTGATAAACTATATATATGAGTTTAGTTTACATATATTAAATTTCTTCATTGAAAGTATTACCAATTAAGAAAAGATTTGTACATACAAAATGCATTTAATTGTGAGTTTGTTTCATCCAAATTTTCATTGTGTCATTTATAGTAAGTTGTAAACATGCTTCTCACAGTATGAGAAATTTTTACTAAATTACCTCCAATAGTTTAATTTACATCAGCTTTGCTTTCTTTATTATAATTTATAAATCTCACCAATTTAATGATTAATCTCTTTGAAATGAATGCCGCAAAACTTATTCTTTTTGTGAACAATCTCAATTTTATTATGGTTAAATAACTTTATAAATCTATCACTTGGAATATAAATCAATTTGTTAAGAAAAATACTGAAATTTGAAATCAAAACCTAAATTTCTTGCCATACCCACTTTTCTTCTTCTCTTTTTCTCGTTCGCTTCTTTCTTCTCTAATTTTTTCACTATTTACCCTGGCCTGCTTCTCTCCATCAAAAGTGAAATGCAGGTAATTATATTGTCAAATTAATTTGTTTAATTTAATTATCAACCAAATTAATTATTTTTTTTGAACAATCCAGGCTTTTTTTTTTTCCATCAACCGTCGCATGTTCTTGTATGTGGAAAACTGAAATTCCACTAAACACCACAATAACACATAATGAAATTAAAATAAAACTTTAGGAAAATATTATCGAAACCAAAATTAATTTCATAACTTTCTCATCTTTGAGAATTAACATCTGGTTATATATATATATATATATATATATATATATAGTATCAAAATGGCCATTTTGAAGAGTATAATGCAATGAAATAATTTTTGATGAATTAAAAAAAAAGGTTGAAAATTTTGGGGTATATTTGCACTCACCTTATCAAAATTTGGATTTTACACCAAGTGGAGTGTGGTATGAAGTCATGGCTTATGGGAAAGCATAATAATTAATTTTAGGATTTGTAGGAAGTGGGAAAAGGGATCCATAATCATTTTTTTTAAACATCTGGAAAGTTGTTGCCTTGAATTATCGATTTGATGCAGGATGAAACCAAGGGATACATGAACTTGGGTTTGGCGGGGGCGATAAAGAAGTTGACGGAGAACTAACAAAATTAAAAAATTCATATGATTTCAAAACAACGAGATCATATATTCATTCCATGTTTTCATGGTTGGCCGCCAAGCACCCATGGCCATTTAAGCTTTCAAACTTCATGAAAGCGAACTATGTGGAAAGAGTAATATAATTATGGAGAAACACAACCAAAAGCTTCTTTTGCATTTATTTCTTTCAATTTTTTTACATGGTGGGATGCCCAATACATATTACAAACTACTAAATTTAAATTTAAATTACAAAATGCATACTACATTTAGGCGGGAACTATGGTTGCAATTTGCATGTCAAAGGGCGTTTGCATGGACGCCCCTCTTAAGTTAGGATTTCCATTTCAAAGGAAGAGGGGCTGATTGCTTTAAGTTTTCTACATGTAAACGGGACGCTTGTCGTTTTTTGCATGCAGGTGATGAAGAAGGCTAGTGTTGACCTCATTTTTAGTGAGGTCTAGTCTTTCTCGTAGGACTTAGGATCTAGCCTTAGGGGTCTCCCTTTGACTATCTTAGAACCTTAGAAATAGGACCCGCCTCATTTTAGAAGTTCGACCTATTTCTGTCCCCTTTTGGAGTTTTGCGTGTGTGGTATCGACTTCTAGCACTTAGAAGGGTGAAACCAACATGAGGAAACCCAAAAGGGATCCCTATAGAACCTTCCTGAGCCTTAGGGTGACATTTTGCACAATTCGCACTCCTGCGCTCACAAGCAAGCCGGGGGTGCGCCGCGTCCGATCGCCTCAATTCGCATCACATGCACTGTTACTTGTCGGAGACTCGAATAAACTTTTTGAAACGATTGATCGCGGGTCGAAATTTTGTGAAATTTAAATTTTGACGCGTTTTTGACCCGATTGTCGACGACGTCGTCCGAGCGACCCCGGATGACAAAACGGACTGCACCGGCACGTACGGAGCGTCGATTTTGCCTAGGGAGGACATCTATTTTGTTACGACGCCGCGCACGAGTAAATCGTATATAATTTATCATATATATATTTATATGTATATATATATTTATATGTATATATATATTCATATATATATATATAT